TTCAAAAATAAAGTCCCTTTTGTTTTATGTGATTTTGAACACGTTTTCTTATAAACTAGCTGCTGCCGGCGACTACGTCTGCGTAGAATAGGCTGAAGGCCTTACATTCAGACAGAAAACAGATATACATAAAATATGTATATAAATTATAGCCTATGTCTTATTCTGATGTATAAGCCATATTATTGTAAAGTTTCATTAAAATCCATTCCGTAGTATTTGCATACAAACTTTCGCCTTTATAATATTAGTAAGGATTTAGTTAGGTTGTTCGAATTGTTTAAAATACGTCCCTGCGTTGCTACCGAAAACGGTTAATAGTGGTCCCGGATTAGCCGGGAGAGTAATGCCCCTGCGAAACTTGCAGACGGGTACAAATGCCCAAAGAATATTGGTTAGTAGGCTAGCTGTAGGTAGCTTTTTAAGAAGGGTCGGATTTAGTACTTTACTCTTTCAATTGTGCACTCAATTTCAGAAAATGTACGAAAAGAAGGATACCAATCTGCAGTAGGTACTCTTATAATATTTGAGACACTTAAGCGGCATTAGTGCAAAATATGTCAGTTAGTTTAGAATGATTTAATTTTCAAAAATATTTTTTTGTGTTCCTTAGGTCTTTGATACGGCGGAAGTAAACTATTGTACAGGTTCTACGCTACTTCTGGTAGCTTTAGATGAATAGAAAAAGCAGAAATATTAGTACTTTTGCGTTTCGTCTTGTTAGGGTTTAACCGGGGCCCATCTTCTAAAATGAGGATAGCGTGAATAGATAATAAATATGAAAGCAAACAGTCCATATAATTCCTTTGCGATTGTGTTTAGGACTGAAATTAAAATTTCTTCCATAGGTGACCAGCAACTTAACGAAAACATCGATGAAATGTGTTCAATGAGCCATTTTACAAATCCAATTTTCGAACGCAACACGTGTTGTAGCAGTTGTAAATAATTCAACAGTTTATAATTTCCGGACGTAGACGCAAAACTCAACATCGCATGGCCCCCTTGCAACCGTAATGCCAATTACTAATTCAGACGCGAAAGTCTGCGGAAAATTAAGAATTTTACCTCTTCGGATGATTTAGTATTCCCGCTGCGGCGGCGTGGCGACAAACAAGGCGGGCGTAAATAAAATTAATTGACTATTCAAGGCCTTACCTGTCTCCAGACGACGAACGACTTAACGAGTAGCCACTTTTATTCCCTTGCATTATCTTTGTTGGTGAATTTACTCTACAGAAGGACAATGGAATGAGAAGCAAATATAGAAATATACAGCTTTTCACGTAGTCTTATGAGGCAGACAGAGATTGCAAATTCTACGAGCGTTTCTTCAATTTTTTCAGAAAAGGAAGTCTTTAACACGACTTGCTGGGGGTGTAAGTTCGTAAAATTCATCACGTAAGGGAAAAGTGTTATGCTCTCTCCGATCGACTCTTAGTGAGTCACTCTGTCGCTCTATCTCTTTCTAACATAATCAAACAAACCGAAAAAGGTGGGTGTTAATTAATGTTTTTTTTGCAATATCAATTAAAAACGACCTTTGTTTCATTTATATTAGGTATAAATGAAACAAAGATCGTAAAATTTTACGATTGATATATGATACATTTATACCTAACCACATATTTTTTTTATTTTTCATTGAGATCATTGTCTTTTAAGGGAAGGAATTGGAGGAACACTTAAAAGTAACAAAGCAATTCAATGATGTTAGGTAAAAAGTAGTGTAAACGTAAAATTCTTTATCACGTTAGCTTCCATAAAAGGAAATTAGCTCTATAAACTACACCCTGCTATTGCTACTACATACGTTACTAATATTTGCTTATAAATATTGAGTTGGAAGTTGTCTAACTTTGAAATGACCTTTCATAGACACTACGGAGAGTATGTGCATAACAAGGAATTCTATTAAGACTCGATTCCCTGGTCTCCACAATACGTTATGTGTCGTAAATATTTAGATAGACATAGTGTTTTGTACTCCTCATTAAACTGTGTCTCGTACTAAACTGTACTCGAGTGAGTAATTATTCTATTTTTAATTATATCTAGATAGATTTAGTAGACTGCAATTTTATTATTATTACAATAGGAAGCGATTGATTATGCATTCGCGAAAGGTTTAGTTTTGTAAACCCAATAAAGTATTCTACTTTGAGTAGCAATAACACACAGTTCGCTACTTAATTGAAAAAGAGACCAATCTATTTATCCGAAAATAGAAACATCCATGCGAAGAAACAATGAACAAAGAATGTTAAGAAATATTCCTAGCGTATAGATAGTATACCATCTATGCAGTACCTTATCTTTGGAGAATAACGTAACGTTAGCTTCCGCGACGCTGGCGAAACGAACTCCGACATCTGTCTATCGGCCTCAATCTAATGATACATCAACAAGACGGATCGGTGGCGAGCGGCCCGTCTCGATCCCGTAATCGCGGACTCACCTGCGGGATTACTGGGACCCACCGAAGGACCGTCATCCCGTGTCACATCGAGTATCTGCAGTTCGCTTACGGTGCGCTTAGCTCGGCTCGATTCACTCCGGTGGCCTTCTGGAAAATTGCTCATGAAGGGTCTATAATACATGAGTTCGCACTGGTTAAAATGTGTTTAGAGAAAAATTTATAGATAGACTGTTCACTGATGAAAATTTGCTTTAGTCTGTTTTAAAAATCGATTTTATAGTCTATACAAGACTATAAAATCGATCAGTAGTGTTGATGCAATTTTTCATAAAATGTTTTATAATTCTGAGAAACGATTTATTAGTATTTAAAGCAGGTTACAAGTTTTCATATTTTTTATTTAAAAATTGCTTTTAATACAAATTTCAATCCTCTATTATTACCTTAAGTGGTGGAATTTTGTAACATCCTCTTTTACGGCCGCCTTCGATGATACTCACTGAGACAGCTAATACAAGCTCTGTCACTGTTCAAGCAATACTCGTAAAACTTAACAAGGCAGATACGACTGTGTGTCCTTCTTAGCCGCAACGCTTGAAACTTCTAGAAATTTGTCGTTTAAGAAAACATCCACCTGGAGGCGCAACTTCCGTGTTTTAATGAAAGAAATAATTCCAATTTACCGAGGTCGAGAAACTTCGGCCACCGACTTGGCTAACATCGTTACCTTCTTGTTTGAGCGGCTCTCTCCGAACATATCTCCTCATTTTGTTTTTACGAGGACTAAACTTTCGGAAGCGTAAAAGTATGTTAATCAATTTCTCAGAGAAGTTTCGCGATGAAAAGTTGCGTTGTACAATGAATATATTTTCGAGTATACTTAATGTGTTCAGTTGGAGAAAATTCCACTTCTACATTTTTTTGTATGCAATAAGTTGTCAAGTGAACGGCCGGTCCACCGCCGCCTCCGGACATCTACCTCACCTTTAAACTATGTGGTTACCTCAGTCACCAGACGAAATGCGAAAGCATAATACCCACTCACGCTGGTCTGTTATGGGGTTGTGGTAATTCCCCGGACGAGCCTCCTGAAGCACAGCTGAAGAAGGGTAGTGAGCGAGACATCAACTCCGCATCTCTCATCCAGGCCCAGGCGTAGTGCACAGGTTCATGGGTGCGATGCACTGGAGATCCCGGAGTCCCTCGAAATACACTATGTGCGGCCACCGACAGGGTTTTAGTGAGTCTTACACAACCCTGTACCTGTAGTGGTAAAAGTGGTTTAATCGCAATTAAACTGTAATATTACGCATCTGTAATAAATTATTTAGATACATTATTACAGTAAATGGCTAATATTCCGAATAGTACGTCTCGTTTTTCAAGCTAGAAAAAAAATTTAATCTATAGAGAAATGTTAATAATTATATGTTATATAAATTATAATCAATGAAAACCACTAGATTATGATGAAAAAATTAACAAAGTTTTTAAATTTCATACAACTGAAATCCGTCATTACTGTGCGTCCATTATTCATTATAGACTATTATTTTAAGTTAAAAACTTACGTTTTCACTTTTTACGTTTTAAGGTGACACAAATACACACAGATATATCACAAAAACACAAGTTTCTACTTCATGAACATGTATTATTAACAATTTCTAATATTTAAAATTTGTGACTTAGTGTACACTTAATGTCTCGAATATTAGGTTCAAAATGAGTCACAGATCCGACACAGAGCGATCCGACTCGGATCGGTTAGGTTAGAAGGTTAAGGTTAGGTTAGGTTAGGTTAGCCTTCGTTGTTAGGTTTTTTTTTATGACCACCCAGAAAACTTTAGTTTAACAGTATTTTTAGTATTTTTAAAGACTCTTTTTTAATAATGCGAAGGTTGGTGTGAATTCGTAAATTTATACATGTTGTCAAACACAAAATGGCGGATTTATTTAGTGAAAATAACAAGTTTTAAATATTTTTTTTTATTAAAAGTAAGTGTTTGACTTGGTTTTCATGTATGTAATATTTAATTATTAACGTTTCTCTATCGATTAAAATTTTTCTAGCTTGAAAAACGAGACGTACTGTTCGGAATTTTTACCCAGTAAATAGAAACAAAAGGGAGCCCCGTGCTAGGTACAGGTGTTAATCTAAGCGCTTGATGAAAATTTCGCTACAAATAAGTTTGTAAAGTTTTGACGGCTCGCCCCGGGCTGACAGATGACAGAGCCGGTGTTGCCATGATGTATAGTCGTCGTGTAAAACATTGTTTTATTCATAGAAAATTGGGGATTTAAAATTTAAATTAAATATTACATTTGTGCAAGGATTATGCATAATCCTTGCATGCATGTAGTTAGGTCAAAATGAAAATCTGCAAAATCGTTAACAATTCAATCATATTTATATCTAATTAATATCGTTATTGAGGGCCTGGGACCTCTCTCTAATTTACTATTCAAATTGATTGCACATAAATATAGAATGAAAATCGAGAAATCTAGTAACTATTTTTTGCCAACCAAACTCAAAATTGACCAGATTAACATTCTTAATTGACGTTGAAGTAAGCAGATGGAGCGTTGCCATCAGCGGCAGAGGACGGAATCGATAATGGTGACGTATCAGCGAATCCCCATCGCAACTTTCCCGCATATTAGGCCCGTGTCGGTTCGGCCCCACCGCTATCCATTACCTATCTCGCAAACTCCCGTATTCCGTAAGTCTAAAATCGTGTCGGAACCGGTTCGAACCGCACCGAGCCGGAATAATCCGCTCCACCTGATCCGGTGCGAGAGGCGGGGACTTGTGGTGCCGACGGTACCTCGCGTCGTGCCGGCCAAGTTTAGCGCAACTATTGTTTCGAAGTTGCCTCTCCTCCGTAGACAATGCGTTGTTTATCCTGATGCAGAGGTTTAGCAAAATATTTGCCCAATTTCGGCATTTTGACATACTCTTCTACAGGTGTATGTTTTCATGGTGAAAGGTTTTGGCAAAGAAAAAGGTCTCTAACGGGCAGAATGGTGTTTGAAGAGGAGAGAACACTTTTAGCCCTACAACAGGACTGCCCTTTAACGGGTAGACTGGCCTCTGACGAGAAAAAGAACACTTTTGGCCTTCATATGTAAAGATTCATTTTCTGTGGCAGAGCCAAGAAACAGGTTCTGCTGTTGCAGACGCAACACTCTTTTCATCGGTGAAAACAGTATTAAAATTCGTTTAGTGGTTTTGTTTGTATTATCAAGTGCGAACGTGGTTCTCTTCAAATATTTCTCATGTCGAAGAAACTAAATTCAAAGTCATTGTTATTTTAATATGGTGACCGGGATATCTATTATTTTGGCGTCATCGATTATAGGTAACTAAGCATGAGGCAGAGCTCCTAGGAGTGAGCCATTTGAAATGTGCACTCAGCTAGTTATAATTACAAAGCGGGTGGCTTTTGTTTGTAAACGACGAAGACTCGTGGACGGGTACCTGAGTAATTCATGCAAACGAATGCAGCCAATTAATTAAGAGCAGTCAGCCCGCGTTCGGGAATCCACCGCCGCCGTTGAAAACTGCGGGCGGCGCGAAAGGCTATGTGCACACGCTGAGCCAAAGTCAAAATTAATTCACTCCACTCGTTTGCTTGTTGCAAACTTTGACGTACCTTATCAGCTTCTAGATCAAAAAAATCAATCCACCAATAAATTCTTCCGTTAAACGCAATTTAAAGTTTTGATAAGGTTCATACAAAAGTTTTATTTTGGCATATAATCGTAATTACTTCTGTATTTTCTTTGATTGCCACCACTGATTTGTCCATTATAAATGCGATATTCTTAAGCTTCTCTTCTTAAATTCTCAGTATTTTTTTTCCTAATGACGCTGTCAATGTAAAAAAGTAAAGTAATTTTTACTATTTTTGTTAAAGATTTAAAAGTTTTAATTAATTTTTTTTCTTGATTCGTTGCCTCATTGGTGAGCATCATGATTATCCCGTCTTGTCAGTTCGTGGACAAAAAACCGTCATTTGTGACGATGAAAAACTTCCTAAATAGTCTTGGTGATTTGAATCCATGAAACATCAAATTCCCAGTAGGACCATTGCCTTGAGGTACAACATCTGGTTAGCTAATTATAATTCTAATAGTTACTTTTTAATGTAAGTTATGCCTAAAATGCATATACAATAATGTATCTCGAAAATCTTTTTCATTACAGCCCCGTCTGTTACAAGCCTTACTTAACTAATTAATATTGCAGAATCTCATCTTACTGCGTCAGGATTTTGTAGATTAAGGTGTTCAGTAACTCAATTTTTCTTTGACTTTGGTGTAGTCTAAAAGCGAAATAATAAAAAACGCTTTTAGCCTTTACTATTACGACTCTTTACCATAATGAAGTGAGTTTACCGATTAAATAGAATTGTTTCTCCTCTCCCTTTAAATATGGTATTCATCCAGAGTTAAAGTAATAAATATAAGAGATTGCTTAATTATTATTCGTAGAAATTAATCGGTTAATAGAAAATAACTGGTAAAACACAGTAAATTAGATAGAGGCGATATGATTAAGAATATTATCAAGGTATACTTGGATGTAAAAAGAAAAAAAAAGGATGTCATAGCATCAAAGTACATATTTCTCAAAACAAAACCTCCGAAAATATAAGGTAACCTGCAACATTAGTTCTCGAAATGAGAGTGAAATTGTGTGTTTAGAGACAATCTGGATCCACTCGAGGTCCAGTGACTACGTGGCATTTGTCACATTCCTACTCGCTTCCGTAGTGACGTTGTACATAATATCGATATAAGAAATAGAATTATAACTTTGATATAAATAAAAACTGTGCAGTTACATTATTTTTTAAGTTATGTATGTATCCATTGTGCCATAGACCGATAATAAAAGTTTCTGCTTCTTCTTCTAATACAGAATAAAAAATGGTTTTGAACTGTGGTAACTTGAAAAAACTGTTAACACTTATTGAGTTAAAATCACCGATAAATTTAAAAATCGCGGAGTTGTTAATGTGTCAAAACAAATAATCTTGGATAACCTTCACTTACAACGTTGAAATTGGACTAACACATTATATCAATGGGGTCTCTAAATCGAAAAAAGACATTAGAAATAAGCCACTTAACGAAACTGTTTAAATTAATTTATTTTCAATATGCACAAGTAAGCGTATTCATTATATATTCATTATCGATTTTTTAGCGAAACCAAATTCCCAATGATTTCTGTGTAATTTTAAGTTTGTAATAAATTTCAACGTTTAGAAAATATTTAAAACGAATATCGATAAATTATAAAAACTACGGCGATACTTTACATCACGTCATCCGCTGAGTTATGCAGTCTGGGTTCCAGCGAATATCGATGAATTATTGAGCTATTTACATTACATCACTAGCGTATAGCCCGAGGCGGCAGGAACCATACTAGAGAGTTTCAAAAGAGAAAAGATATTCTGAAATATAACATTGTAGTAAAAACTTTCGAAGTAAACATGGAAGGCATTCTCTTCGAATATTACGATTTCATACTCAATTGAAACGTCTAGCATTTATTTGGAATTAAAAAAATACAACACAAGGCTAAATTTATTGTATTTTCGATTTACTTAATACATATTATTAGTTCTCTTTGTTCTTTTACTTTCGTCAATAATTGTGAATATATTTTCAGTAAAATAACAGTAGGAGAAGATTCATCGGTCATTAATGATACATGAATGGCTATAATATTAACAATTAATATCATTGACAGAATTTGTCGTGCAACTTCAAAGTTAAGCAAATTCAATTTGGGATTTGAATCGGTCCAAAAACACTCGCTCAATCGAATGTTTCCCCTACCATATAAACATAAAGAAAATTTTTGTACGGTATGTCATATGTGTTAGATTGGCTGAAAGATGGAGCTTAATTGCATCGCATTGGACCTATCGGTGGAACTTACCCGTGGACCCTCCACCCTTTGGTGGCGATCAGATAGCGGCAGATCACCTCCCTTATCTGTAACGACAATCCTGACGCACATCCGTCTCCGTCGGGGATGTTTTACAGATGGATACTCTCACCTTAACGCATATCGCTTTGTTTCGTTCGCAGGCAAATTGAAGAATGGCTTTTTTATCTTTTCTCAAGACGGCTGTTCTTAGACTACGTTCTGTACGACAATAGATTGTGTAAATGGCATTAAAATAGTAAAACGATGTATGCATTCAGCTTTCTAATGGTGATGTAAATTCATGTGAATTAACTCTTGTTTAATTTTACTCGTGTTTTGCTTAGTGTTTTTCTTTTTTTTTAAACATTGCCCTTTAGGATATCATTATCCTGTGTTTTAAGGACGTTTTTCAAACATAAATTTCACGCGGCCAAACACCCAGACGCGAAACAGCTATTTGTGGGTCATACAAATAGTTGTCCCATGTGGGAATCGAACCCACGATCCCCGACGCCGAAGCTAATACTTTGATAACTGCGCCACGGAGTCATCCTTTGTTATTTGAAATTACTTCTTATTGTTTATGGAAAATGTTCTTTTTTTTTAAGTTTTTTTTGTATAGATAACACTAAAGCTCTTCAACGGCTACTACATATAGAACGCTAAATTAAATACATGTCATATGAAAGGCCTTGCAATCAAAATTGCTCGTAAAACTTCAAACTCGACCGCCCAGCGGCCAACTGGACGGAGACTCACGTAGCCCATTACCCACAAACTAAACGATCACCGGACCTCATTACCGGCGTCTAAGACACCCCACACCCCCGCCGGCCGGGGGCGGCGGGGGCGGCGGGGGCGGCGGGCTAAGTGACTCCGAACGGAAATAAAGGTGCACGCGACTGGAGGTAATGTTAATTGAATTTCTGCAGACGCGTGCCTAGTGGTGTACCGCGGGTCGACAATTATGGTACTAGCAATCTATTAATTGTATTAATTTGTTGTGTATTAAGGACCGGGATAGCTCATAGCAGAGCAAGCGCCCAGATAGATAGTCTGGGAAACCGTAAGGAAAAACAGTAAGGAAACCTGCATATTTTTGAAATAATAACAAAAGAATATTTCGAAGATATGTGAATTCTGTGAATCCGCAGTGGGATTGGATGGTGTCTATTCCGTAGTAGTCTCTGTTCAGAGGATTATGTTTGCTCAGCAGCGAGATGTGTATAGGCTAATAGATTACTTTTACTTTTTTAATTTTTGTCGATACATATGTAGATATCTTCATTTGCATAAGTGAGAGAGGTATTTATGTTTATACAACATTTGATAAAAGGAAACTATTCGTTAACACAGCCGGCGTTTGAAACAATCTTCAGGATTTAAATCCCAGTCGCCTTTATTGTTTAAGTCACCATCGGATATTATTTGCTCTAATATTTTCTGTTATTTACTAATTTTAATAATAGGTATAGAATCATTTAATGTATCTACATACCTCATTTATTATCGGAAAATCAGAACAAACAATAAAACAAGCATTAAAACATGTACACAAATTATACATGAAGTTATTTTATAGTTTGTTATAAATAAACCGTTTCTAGAATTTAAGATAAGTTCCAAAGCAAAACCTAAATAATTAAAATGCTGTCATCAATCCATGTTATTTTAATAACGGCGAAAATTATAAACTCAGCATGCCTATGATTATAAATATGGTAAACTATTTGAAACATCGTATACTTAAAAAGAATTGAAAGAAAAACTGTAAATTTATTTTTTGTCCTACTTGCTTTTTGTTTTTGTCCTTTGGCCTACTATAATGTCGAGGAATAAATTGACGACAAGGATGTGTGTATGAATAAAGAAATTTTGACTTCGTCTTATGAGGTCTCATCAAAACTCTTACCTGAGGATATAGCTTATAACGAGACTAACACATCAAATATGTCACGAATCCTAAAAGAAAAGTTTCGTTTAGAAATAGAATATAGCTAAGTGTCATAGTAAAATCTAACTTCTGGAAATATCGATGGGGACATCACTACGAACGGACTGCGAGATACCGACGCGCGACCGCCGCACACCACGCGAGATTAAACGTCACGAACCGTCAGATATTTCCACCAGGAAGGAGGGAGTTCTAACGATTGCGTTAAGTTCCAACTCTATTATTATCGGTGAAGAGTTCAAACTGGCGTACACGAGTAGCAGCGATAACATGGTAAGTAAACAGTCACCTGCAACGAACAACTTTAAATGGGTAATATGACATCGGCTCGAGTTTTTACGGCCAATTCATTTGTGATGGTATTTTGATGAGAATATCAGCTTACCTATGGTTGGCATCTTAGGAAAGATACTGTAGAGTAAGTATTTCAAGTGAAAATATAGTAGCTATTTATTTAAAAAAATCTAACACTTTCTGCTTAGTGTTGAAATTTATCTACTGCGGAGTAAAGTTATATAAAGAATGTTGTACTAACACTAGTATGGTTTTTAGTATTTTGTTTCAAATTTTATCTATAAACATCTTTTTTTGGTCTATATGCAAATATCTGCTTTCTGTGAAGATTTACTAACACGTTAGTTAACTTAATTACTTTCTTCTATCTATTTCGAAATTAAATTATTTATTCAATCATTAAAATTCTTATAGACAAAATGGCTAGTCCCTAATTTTAATCTTTTTTATGTGAGAAGCTGTCAAGTGAGCTGTCGACTCACCTGATGTTAAGTGATAACCGCCGCCATAGGACATTTGCAACACCCGTATGGTATACCTGTGTTCTTCAGATCTTTGTTCATTTGGTTACAATTAACATGTTGATTTTTTTATTTTACGCGAATACTATGCAGAATGTTGACATCAAAACGTGTAACATCTGTCCGGGAAGGGGTCGAAACGTCGGGAATTTAAAATTAAAACGCGATAAAATCCGTAAATTAGTTAATTCGAATAACAGTAGCATATCAATTTGCTGGCTATCCATTCAAATGGGAGGAAAAACCCCACAGAATCATACACAAAAGGGAAACCAACTGATTTCAAGAGCTCTCGTATTACCTGACATAAACCGCCGCACAGCGTACGTGCCTCCGCAGCCACACCTTTACTTAGAGTGGCGGGAAATGTCGCCAACGATGGAGCAATTGAAAGAGATTGCCGCAAAAATGGCTCCTTGTAATCCGCCTAGCGACGACCCTGTGCTATATTGGGGGGAGGAATATTATTTTCACGTGAAGATGTTTTAACATAAGTCCATTTTTTGCTAACGAAAAACAAAACCGGTTTAACGGGGGTAGAGCCACGCAGCAGCCTCGGCTGTTTCACGAATGGGCAGGCTCGTCCGGGTAAGTACCACGACCTCACAGAAGACCGGCGTAAAGTGGAAGTATGAGAAATACTTTCGCGTTTCGCACTGGTGAGTGAGGTAGCCAGAGCCCAATTTCCAAAAAGGTTGTCAACGCACCTGCAAACCCTGGGGTGTAGCAGATGTTCCTGGGCGGCGGTATTCACTTAACATCAGGTGAACCGTCAACTCGTTTGGCAACTTTTAAAAAAAAAAAAAAAAAAAAAAAAAAAAAAAAAAAAATACCGACTTCAAATATCTCGTTCTGTAATCATTTTGCAATTGATTTTCCGGAGTTCCCCAAATATCTCCGGAGCCCGAGATCTAATATCATTGAAATCAATATGGGACTACATGGGAAGCACTAGTTTTCAAATGGAAAGAAATCGGCAAAATCGGTTCACTCCGTTGAATTTTATGAGGTAACAAACATAAAAAAATACAGTTGAATTGAGAACTTCCTCCTTTTTTGAAGTCGGTTGAAAATAATTTTGCTTTGAATTTTAGGCAGTACTACGTAATAAGGCTGTGGTACTTCATTATTTCCTTAATCAATAGAGTATATATAGTTGTTCGTAGATTTCTGTCACTTCGATAAGTATTTATTGGTGCAGTCTTATTAAGTTTGTTGTTACCAGCAATGAAAATATCTAATGTAAAATTAAGTAAAGAGAGCGTGATAGATCTGAGCAACCACGAAGGTTTCTGCGTTGGCGAAAAATCTGTTTTCTTATCCCACCATTACGAGTACTTTGATATTGTATGTGTGTATTATGATATTGTATATACGTATTTAGACAAAGTAAATTTAAAGGTTTCGATGCTACAAAAAACATATATACTTGTAACTCTGCTTCTGCTGCTGAACAAATAATACACCCTCGCAGAAACTCCCCACTGACTGTGTCCAAACACCTGAGATCGCTGTTTGCCGGCGGTAAAAGGTGTATCCGATTGCAGCGCTCTCAGTTTACCGCTAAACGATGAGACAATAGCGGTAAATAAATGAATCGACGCCACAATGCCGCAGTATAAAAATAAAAACGATAAAGTTATAATTATACGAAAAAGCAATTATATGATCCCTGATTAAAATTATTTCTAATAATATACAGAATAGACAGAATAATAAGAGTTTGTTAATTGAGTAGTTCAATGAGAATCATAAAGAGTTTCTTTATTTTTTTATCGTTTTAAGTACTACTAAATTCTATAGCTATCAGTCGGTACGTCGTGTGATAGTGTCGGACGACTGTTGTCGTAAAAAGTAATTGGAAAATCACGTTTGATAGCGAACTCGGCCACCATTATTTGCAATTATGTGAAGCATGTTGTAAGCGGTTTTGGGTGTCTTTTACGACCGGCAACTTGCCTAACGTCAACTCTCCTTGGGAAACAAACACCCAGATCCGGTACAATTTTGTTGGTCACACAAATACTTGTCCCGTATGGAATCGAACCCAAGACCCTCGACGCCGAAGCCAATAGCTTAGCAACGGCGCCATCGACCGTTATTTGTGTGCCTATTCAACCAGTTAAGATAAGCTTGTTTACTTTTCGAGGTTTTCATCACCTTTCGTCACAGAGTTTGGTGATCAAAATTTCTGAAACGTAAGTGATCAAATCAAAAACGCATTATGTGCTGACTAACGATACCTGGTCCATGCAAGTCGTTGACATTGAATGCCGTCTGTGGTGCTTTGGCGATATATGGAACAGGAAGTGTTCGAAAATAACGTGTAATTTCAAGTACGAGTATTGTTTGCAGGTCACACAGACAACGACAACAAAGAAAAATAAATGAACAACTAGTTATAACATGAATTTTCATTCATAATTCAAAGTACGTTGATGTGTGAATACTTTAACTGTGTAAATTATAAAGTCATGTAGCAGCTGTTGCAGATGTTGCTGCAAACCGGCCATGGACGATTAGTAAGTAGATGGCTCAACTGATATTGATTAATTAACATCAGCATTGGAAGGGTTATAGGTGCATTGCTACTATACAACCCTAAAACCTCTTTCGGCAGACGAAAGGCTTCCTTATTCGTCAGGGTACTTCCCCTGGCGAGTTTTCCCATTCCATGTCAATGAAAAATTAAACATTTATCTTTTTATAATAGTATCTCTAAAACTCAACCACTTTTTTTATGTGACAAGTTGCCAAACGAGCCGACGGTTCACCTGATGGTAAGTGAATACCGCCGCCCATGTACATCTGTTACACCCGAGGGTTACAGATGCATTAACAACCTTTTGAAAATTGGGCTCCGGCTACCTCACTCACCAGACGAAACGCGAAAGTATTTGTCATACTTCCACTTTACGCTGGTCTTCTGTGAGGTTGTGGTACTTACCCGGACGGGCCTGCCCATTCGTGCAACAGCCGAGCCTGCTGCGTGGCTGGCAGTTATCACTGTCTGTTTACTATTACTTGATGGGGAAATAGTAAACAGACAGTGATAACTCCGAATAATGTAAAAAGTCAGTAAGTGTAACTTAAAATTCCACGTTGCCGTAAATTAATTGAGCTTCAATCGTGTTTCATTCATTTATGTATTCTTAATACTCAGCACATTTTTTGTTATTTCCCTTTGACCTTGATCGCAATCCAAAGTAAACGGATAAACGCTAATGAGAGCGAATGATAAATCATCAATCAAGGTCTGACGTTGATTGAATGATTGCTGTTTATTGAGAAATACACTCTAAAAATAGCTGTAATAAAGTGATAAAATATCAACAAATATCAGAACTGTCTAGTTCGCACTAGTTTTATGTTAAATTTATTTTACCTGTGTACTTGTACAGTACGTCTTTATGTATATTATCAAATACATTTCGAGTTGTTATTAAGAATAAATTTACATTAAAAGCTAAGTAACGCCCCTGATTTAAAGACCTTTAGCGTCTTTTAAAAATCCTTACTCACTGGTTGCCTATAGCATAATGGAATTGTCGAAAAGCTGATGAAATTTCAAACTTCTAATACAAGAACTCAAGATAAATTTCAAAATTTAGAAGGTCATAAAATGAATCCTTTATATTCTACAAATTTGTAAGTATAGTACGACCATTTTCCTGCTAGTTTTGACGGATTTGAAAAGTGATGAAAATTAACAAATTTTATACACATATACAAAATTTGTGTAGGCTTACTATAAGTAAAGTTTTCACATTTAATTAATATATTTCACTTTTACTTTTACTTAAATGTAATAAAGAACTTTGTAGAAATTCGTATAAACAGTAAACATAGAAAAAATCTGGGGATCGCAGTGGGAATATTATGGGGGTGAATATGACATGGCAGACGGATGTATGCAATGCCAGGAAGTGAGTCGGGGTAGTTTGTTTCATTGTATCTGCTCACCCTAATGCCACCAAGTCGAGAGCTTTGTTTGTGTGAACACAACCGCTATGTACTTTGACTACAAGTAATTTTAAACATAACTTGATTTGGTGTAAAATATTTTGAAAGTCATTATGTATATTCCTTTACTTTATTTTTATGGAAATGCGGTTCTCTCCGGTGTTTCATGTTCTTTTACAGTGACGCAGTTACAGTGAAATGAGCTTTAAAAGAAAAACTTTAACCACGTTTAGGAACACATACTAAGATATGTTCTGTAATAATAACAATTGTTATAGTGCGTAATTTAAATGTATTTTAAATTCCGGCCAAGTGCAAGTTCGACTTGCGCACTAAGGATTTCCGGTATATAAAAACTGATATCTGCAGACCAAAACCATGTGTCTGGTGCACGAAGCTATTCCACAACTGTATCTCATTATTCTCGCTTAAAAGAGGAAATGGTGGCCACTAAATTCTGTCGCACACCAATATTCCCTTGGCAATAAATGCCAAGTCCGTTGCACACTTTCAGCGGGTCCGGCGGTAATTGGAGCTATCGGAGTCTCGGGCGCGGCCATAAAGAGGTGATGCAAGGTGGGCACCCGATCGACCGTGAAAGAACCCCTGGCACACTGTCGCCAGGAATATTTCTGTGAAAGGTGGACAATAAATCTGTTTAGTTTTTTTGGTATATAAGAACGTATTTTATATATATGTATCCAATTATAATAAATGATATTTAAACGGTTGTCCCATAATCGAAGACGTCCATTAGTGGACAACCGTTCTTCTAAAATTAAATTTTGTAAGGAAAAATAGGTAAAAAAACAAAAAAAAAAGATATTAAATTTAGATCTTAGGTGTCATAACTTTTCATTTTCTAGATATTGATTGCACATCATGTGTATATGTAAAACTGAAAAACTGAACTATATGATAATAAATTCCAACATTACAATGACCCACGGGGCTAAACTAGGAGACATAAATTCGACCATCTCTTAGTAACCTTCTTGGCGGCCGTGTGTCAGAGGCTTAAGAAAAACTGTTCTCATCCTGCGGCTAATACGCCGGACCCTTCCACCTACGCTAAAAGGTTGTCGTTTAAGGCTACCGGTACGATTTGTAGGCCCAATTGACTGTCAATGAATAGATGTGAGCCCGCCTAATGTTGGGGACTTACGTAAAAGATCGCTCTTTGCGGCCCACCTTTGTTAAATGGACCTACCCACGAAAAGTATTCGCTTTTATTAGATCCAATGTCTCTAAGTTCTCTGCTCATTAAACGTCACCGTTAATACAAGAGCATATTTCAACCTGTAACACGATAGGCAGAGGTTTTGAACACGTTTTACCTCCCATAATGTATATACCTTCAGCGTAAAGGTAGAATTTTTTTTTCTTACATTGAATGTTCAACATTGAATAAAATATCAGATGTCTCCTTATGTCAACTGAGACCGTTCTTGATGATGCTATATAAGACCAAAATTTCCTCGATGCAGTTTTTGTAAAAAAAACATAAAAGCATAGAAATTACT